TGCACTTATTTTAAGAAAGAATGAGTTATCTAGATTTAGATTTTTTGCAGTGTAAAAACCATCAAAATAATTAGTTTCATCCAAAAAATGAATTTCTTTGTGGTTCGAATCGGTGCTGCCCCAACTTGTTGCTCACCACCTACCAAAATAAATAGCTTTTCTAGATGCAAAGTTAAATTTGACACCTTTACCATTATTTATAAAAGTAAGAAAATTAAATAAAAGGAAGTTATCATCCAGAATTATAGAAAAATGTTCCTTTAATAGAGTAGAGCAGTAAAGCTTCTGTCTTTAACAGTTTTTCCTGCATTACTTTTACTTTTATACTTTAAGTAGTTTTAAAAATGGTACTTTTACTGGAGTAAAAAGCTGAAGTTGATCCTCTAACTTCTACAAAAGTGTTTTTAAACAGTAGGATTTATATTAGAGTAATAAACATTAATATTTTTGACATCTCTGGGAATGTGTGAGACTAAATAGTGTGATTCCTCTGAAAACGGTTACGCATCAGGCTCATGAGTGAACAGTCTGTGGGAAACCTTCATTATTCCTGGGAAACCACTGACCAAGACCATCTTCACTCATTAAGAGGGAATCTGGATATTTAGAGCAAAAAAATACGACATCAGAGGCGGAATAAGAGTTTCTGAGGTCATGTAAACATTTTGAAATACAACGGAAGGAAAAGATGCAGTTTTTATGTGTTTCCAGTAAAATAAATGCTGATATTTGCTCCTAATGATGTAAACGAAGCAGTAAATAACCGAACATGAGGTCAGTCTCAACTGCTCCTCTCCCTGCTGGCTTCCTCTCTTTGGTTTGGCTTCAAACAGACCTATTGCTCTTCCTCTCAGGTCCTTCTCTCCTCCTCCTCCTCCTCCTCCTCCTCCTGGATGGCCCACGCCTGGATCTCTCCGCTTCCGAATATCATATAGATGACGGCGCCTCCTAAGTTGATCCCGGCGGCGACCCAGAACACCTTCCTCCAGCCTTCCAGGGTGTGCTGCCCATCAGAGACGAAGGTTCAGAGGATTGAATCTGTTTTTATCTCTAAGTATTATCAATCATTAAAAATATTAGAAATAAGGTCCATAAATATTCCACTCTAGGTGAGAAGAACCTATAAAGAAACACTGAACTTTTTTAGGATATTCTCATTGTTCGATTTACCCGTTAGTTCACGTTTGAAAGCCTTAATTAGTTGATAAATCAAATGGAAACGACTACAGAGGAAAATCCAAGAGCAGCGAATAAGAACTTTTTAGAACTAATTAAAAATAAAGCTTGTTTAAGACTCACATCTTCTGTAAAGTATCCCGTCACGATTGGTGCCACGACACCCGGGATCGTCCCAAATGTGTTGGTGATTCCCAGAAGGAATCCTGCGTATCTGCCAGGAGAAGAAACGTGGAAAATTAAGGAAAAAATCAAGATAAAAATGAACATTTAAGCTCCCTACGCTGCCGTCCAGCTGCATTATTGATCCAACAGACTGATGTCAGGAGGACGTCTTCTCCTTTAGAGGACTCTCTACTCTCCATAGGCGGATCTACTGGGGTGGCATACCAAAAAGACAGCCTTGCCACCCCTGCTGCCACCCCAGGTGGCGGTAGGGGTGGCGAAGCTTATAAATTATGGATAATTTGAGAATTCCGACCGCTAATTTCTAATGTCGGACTGCAGTGAATGCAGCACGAGATGACGCGAGAGCGACAGTTTAGTTTTGAAAACCGAATGAGGCAAAGCGAGGGAGCCAGGGGTCATGGGGAGAGGAGACACGGGATGAAACAGGTAAAAACTGATTAACTATCTATAGAGAAATGAAATCATAATGAAAGCTCAATGTTGCTAGCATAGCTGCAATGCTGATTTTAGATGATAAAAATCAGGTTGCAGAACGTTATTTCTCTATCTATGATGTTAGTTACAGTAGGCCTGATGTCTCAGGCTCATAAAGACATTTACGGTCAACTATGACAGAAAAGAGACGATCAAGTTTGGTTGAACTCAAATCAAAACGCACAAATGCATCGGATCTAAATACATTAGTTAAGCGTTTTGCTGAGCAACATGGAAATCGCCGCATTCAGCTGTTATAGTCATGTTAACTTTATGTTATAATCTCTGTTGTTACATTTTGTTTTGGCACCTCAGAAAATCTGATATTTCCTTTAATAAAACCAAAAGTGTTAAAAGTAAAGTTAAAAATGTGATACTGGTGTAAATCCTGCTTAATACGAAGCAGTGTTGTTGTTTCTTTTTTTGTATTTTTTGTACACTCACACACTGATGGTGGCAAGTGACATTGTAGCCACAGCTGCCCTGGGGC